TTCATAGTGCAGTTCCTTCTTAACGGACAGTATAGCTAATGGGCCACCTCTTCTCCCTTTGGCCATCACACTGACCACTCCCCTCTCATTTGCATAACATTCCTATGGCAATTGCAGAGAATGTTTACATGGAAAAATGTTATTAGGAATGCAATTTCTGGTCATCTTTTAAAATGATTAACAACTGAATAAAAGGAGGAGAACCAACACCATGTGACCTGCCAGTTTTTCCACAGACCATCAGCAGTTTGCTGTTTTGAACTAGAGTAAATGTTGGATTCTCTGTAACTTGAAAAATTTTAAACCAAGATTTGAGGATCTGAGTAACTCAGATAGAGGTATGGGCCTATTGAAGGAGTTCTGTGGCCTGCAATGTTGCAATAGGTCAGTCTACATAATGGTCCCTTCAGGCCTTTAAGACTATGCAGCTATAAGTACTCCATACGCCAGTTTGGGAGCCTCTGATGGATGGTAATCTGGGTTTGCAAACACAACCCACATGGTTGAGAACGAATGATAAGACTCTAGCGATTTAGCAAAGGATAAGTGAAGGGTAGGAACACTCTGTATTTGAGAGACTCAGAGCTATTTTGCATTTGGTGCATGCTGTTTGCTCCTCTAATATGACTCAATTCTGTGGCCCCAATCCAGAAAGCACATGCTCAGCTAAATTATACTGTTCACATGTTTAAAGTTAATTATGTGCTTAAATGCTATGTTGGACCAGGGACGGAATGGTCAGCCCTCTTGCAGGATCAAGGCCCTATTGCCTTTCAGGCTCGTAGTCCCACAGTAACATATACAAGTTATGGGAAAAGGAAGTTAAGATATGAAAATAAAAGTAAATAATGTATTTTTAAGTAGTCTCATGAGCATCATGAGGTTTGCCCAGCCACATTCTGAGTAAAAATAACACCATAAAGTGAATGTGGGGAAAAGTAACTGTAAAATTTGAGAACATCGTCCACTTACAGCTATTGAAGATGGCTGCTAGAGCTTTGCTATTGACTAAAAAGGCCACCTGACCCTGTGAGATTAACTAGAAGAGCCTCAGCAGAGGGTAGCAAACCATAACACTTCTAGGACAAAAGATAATTTAAAGAGCATAACAAAGCATTTGATTTTAATGGGGCTGTCTGGTTGTAAATGAAGGCAGAATTTGGCCTATACTCTATAGACTTCAAGTTTTAGTTCATAAAGGAGGCGGGAAAGCCTCATGAATTGAATAAGCAACCTCAAGAGGGCTAAAATTCTTTTATCTCAACAAAGTATTCATACAGCCTGATGGACAGAATGACCCAATCCTCTATCTCTAAACTGGCGACAGTATAAAACAGTTGAATGGCATATCCATTAAACTGCCTTACCAAAGAGATATAAATAGAGGGAAATTAAGATACTGATCTTGGCCTAAAAATGATTGTGTCCTACTTATTTTATTTTCAATTGGAAAGCTTGGTCAGCTGTGAAAAATGTTTACTTCATTGATATCACTAGTAAATATTTAATAAACTGCATTAACAATGAAGTAGCAACAAGAAAGTTCCTTAACTATACAGTAGTCCCTTTGATTAACTAGCTTTTCAAATGTGATGTTTTGGAATATAAAATGAAGCACACAAACAGTGCAAATGCATCTGTTTACTGAGATTCATCTTTATTTAGCTTGATCAGTTTGCTACTTTCTCACTGTTCAATAGGGAAGGTGAGAACCAATTTGCCAACTAAAGAAAATTAGTTTCCTATTGGCACTAGGTTATTATGGGAGAAATTGCTGTGTAACTTTAAAATGCTTTCACTTCTGAGATCAGTGTTCAGAAGTTGAACTGAGGTAGGAAAGAGATAAGGTTAAAATCAAATGATTTAGAAGAACAGTACAGAAGAAGAATTTACTCTTTGAGCATTATATGAAAGGAATTTTGCTGATTTGAACTGTCTCTGGCGAGATGATTTTCCATCACAACCATTTCCACAAAGGTATTGTGCATTGCACTGGTAGAATTTCACAGCCTCATTTCACCCTGAATGAAGCCGCATTTCAGTAATTACATATTGAATCAATTGTACAGGAGTGTTTCAGACAGTGCCCATTGGACTTTAACATGAATGCAATGACTATACTTTCATAAACTTGTTTTAAATTGCATAAATACAAAAATAAATGGACAGACCAAATGTTGGGCCTACTATTGAGCATGACATAGATACTTAGATTGATCTGTCACTAGTACTTATCAGAGTTGTGGTTTTTTAAAATGGGCAGGGAAGCACATAAGAATTTGGCTTTGGTATTTCATTAATTTAACCTTCTAATCTAATGTGCCCCTGATTTGCCCATCTGGGACTTAAGTCCTAGTGAAGCTAATAAAGTTGACAACTTACAGTGAAGTCAACCCAAGACAAGTTTTGTTCCCAAAACAGGACACTTTAGGTCCAAAAAAGGGTTTGATTTTTATAATGATTTCAACCCTTGGGGGAAGAGGGGAGGAGGATCTAAGCCAGGGGTCTCAAACTCAAATGACCACAAGGGCCACATGAGGATTAGTGCATTGGCCCGAGGGCTGCATAACTGACACCCCCCCCTCGCTGGCCCCGGCTCTGCCCCCACTCCACCCCTTCCATGAGGCCCCGCCCCTGCCCCGTCTCTTCTCCCCCTCCCCCGAGCGTGCTCCTCCCCCCTCCCTCCTGGAAAGTGCTAAGCATTATACAGAGCATACAGATCACTGCTGCTCCTACAACAAATCATTTCC